TTTCGTTACTCCCACCGACGCAGCCCCAAACAGTTTCCTTCGAAACTGTCAGCCTTTATTCTTTCGAAACTACCTGCCTTTATTCATTTAGACACTAGAGTCCGATATTAGACACTAGTGTCTGATTTTAGACGCTAGTGTCTGATTTTAGATGCTGTCCGATGTTAGCCATCAATACCTGCTCAAAAGAATCCCCCACAAGGAAAAGAAAAAACTGAATTTAACTATGCATATTAGCAGAATAGGTTAGTATTATTTGAAAAAAATAACAAACCTGTTGCTTCTGAGGGTAGTGAAAGAGTTTCGCCAGATCCTTTCGCAATTGATCGATCGCTTTTTTTTTTCTTTTTTTTTATTGTATATAAATGTTTCTTTCGACATTTTGCGTTCAAGAAACTACTTACGAACAAACTACCTTCGTTCCTCACACAATCCTCTGTTTATTTGACTCCTGGATCATGCCACTGAAATTCGATTCGTTTGCGTGATCAATTCGGAACATTCAACCAATCACGAGGACGATGCTTTTTCTCGGAATTGGTTTGCTCCCTCGAAGAAGCTTCCACGAAATGTGAACAACAGGTGATGTGTTTTATTTTCCCAGTCTTTTGCTGAGAAAGTTCTTTTCAACAGCACTTAGTGAGATCAAGGTACGTAGAGATGGTATTTATTTATGCGTAGAATTGATTACGTTGTGATGTAAAAATACAACTTATGCAGAACGGTTACAATTCGGCGCAGACAAGCCTTGAGATTACATCATGGAGTTGAATAAAATTGTCGGTTTTCCTCTGCAGGAAACTTTTTTGGCATTGTTTAGAGCTGGAGTCCAAACATATAAACCAAGGGGAAAAGGCCTGATCATGTGTCTGTGACAAATATATATATATATCTTATTAGACGATTGGTTGTGTAGTATCGCTGAGTATTTTTATGAGTTATGCCGTATTTTGACGAGCCCGAAAGGCGAGTCAAAGTACAAACAACGAGATTTATTATCCAACACGCCAAATTGTCATTTCATTGCGGGTGAATTTTGCGGATATTTCTGGAGTACAAGTATCGTCTCGCGCGTTATTTGTACCCTAAGAAGCACATTTGGATAATAAATAATGCTTACATGTTTGGAAATATAGATATGTACACGAATTATGCGAAAATGAAATGATCGAGTGCTGATGTTTTACGTTTGTTATCTTTCACATCGGCTGTGTGGATTTGAATAAAAGCATTTGAGCCTGTTAACGAAAAACTGGTTTGTTGCTTAGCTGTGATGTAGCCTCAAAAATCTACGACGAGGGATTTTGGTTCGTTTAGGTTGTTATCAGCAGCGAGAGTTTCTTAAATTTATTCATATTTTCTTCGCTGCAATACCTAAATATTTTTGACAACCGATTTTATGTTTAGGGATCAGAATGACTCTGGGTGAGTATTTTTTCCTCAAAGTTATTGATGATATGAAGCATTTTAAAAAGGGCAGCTTCCTGCGGGTAAACGAAAAGCGAGAGCAATCGTGTTTTTGTTTTTATGATTCTTTTTTTTTTTTAATAATCAGAGGTCAACATGTGTTGTGGCAAATGTCGTAACGTTTTCTTTTAAAATAAACAATTTGTCATTTTAAGTTTTTCTGCATTCCTTTAACGATTAGTTTCGACCATTGCTAGCATGGTAATGCCAGTATTTTACTTTGAAATCATTTTGTCAACAGCGACTTCTATATCCCGTCGGTCAACAGAGTAGCAGGACATTGCTCACGATAAAAAAAGGTTCACATTACTAGAAACTCCTAATATGCGGCGAAATCGCAAGAGAAGATACAGTGAAGCTTCTAGTTCTGGTGGAACAAACCGAGGGTACGGTTTTGAAGAAAGAAGGCGAAGGAGTGAAAGCGATAAATGGTCACACGATTCACGAAGTTTTTCGCCCAAACGACGACGCTTAACTGATATGAGGGGAGGGGAGAGTGCGGAGGAGGCGGTACCCTTGGGATACAAGGCCTTGGAGGAAATATGGAAAGCAGATACAGATGAAAATAGGATATTGGAATTAGACTTAAGATCTGAAAGATTCCAAGCGTTGCTAAGTTCCAAGACAGAAATAAATCCAGGCGTTATGAAGCTTACGATCTTCGTACTTCACCAGCTTTGTTGTTCCCGTGGTACACTCGAAAGTCATGTTGAACAGTTGTTACGACTGGTGATAGAAACCAACTTCATGCGTTCACGACTGTCTGGTTTTATCAGCCGAATGCTGTCTTATACAGGATCGGAATTTGACAAGTTCCAATCATCTGAATTGATCTCCAGTTTGACGGAAGTCTTTCTCTATTTCCTGCAGAGGTTTGGACATGAAGTAGCTCACGAAGTTCCAGTGTTTGAACTCGAAAACACCGTGTTGCAATTAAAAGCAAAGAAGCGTTTACACGACGCAGGTGCGCTGGAAAAAAAAGTTTCCCAAGTCAAGGAATTGCGGCAAGAAGTCATTAATCAAGAAGTGATGTCTATCTGGGATGAGGAAGACCATTTAGATGTCGAGCCCCCGCACAATTTTCGAGAACTTGGCGTTTTCCCAAAGGCTGCAGATCTTAGCATGACATATAATCCCTTTCTTCGCGTCAATGTTGTCGACCAGCGTGGCTACACAGATCTGGAACATTACTTAGATGTTCAGTTTCGGCTTGTTCGAGAAGACTTCATCATACCGCTACGGGAAGCTATCATGGAGCTTCGGAGGGACAGCAGCGGCCTAGAAACTAGCAGTACTAGGGACAAAGAACGCGCCAAGGACGTGTACTTCTACCGTGACGTCACTGTGTTGTACCCCGTATGTCACGCGAAGGGAATGGTTTACAGGATCCGGTTTGACGCATCTCACCACAGTGTGAGGAAAGTTCCCTGGGAGAGAAGCAAGCGTTTCAAGAATGGTTCCCTATTGTGTCTAGCAATGGACGACTTTTACACGCCTCTATTCGCGACAGTCGAGAGCCGAGATCCCAAAGAACTTTGCCTGGGCGAGCTTGATGTGCGGTTTGAAGACGTGGATCTCGAAACATTGAATGGATTCATCGATTCCAAGACGAAATTTGACATGGTCGAATCCAAAGCCTTCTTCGAAGCGTACAGATACGTGTTAGAAGGCTTGAAGGAGATAAGACCCGGAGACCTACCCTTCGAAGAGCACATTGTGAAGGGTGAGAAAGTCATCGGTCCTCCAGGTCACAAGTATCAAACTAACTTCGACTACAATATGAGTGGTATAGTACAAGATGAAATGGATGGTAGCAGTGAATGGCACCAGTTTGTTGAAGATTACAGTATTGGAGACAGAAATTCTGCATTTGCAGGCCACCGTATGACCTCGGAGAGAGAAAATTTGGTTTACAGTGACGAGGAAAACATGTCCACAGATAGCCAAGATCTTGTGAATGCTCTCGATTTGTACTACTACCGAGACAGCTTGGGTTTCAACGATTCACAGCTGCGAGCATTTCAACTGGCGCTGACAAAAAAGTTTGCTGTGATTCAAGGACCGCCAGGGACTGGGAAGACGTTCGTGGGTTTGAAAATCGCGCGTGTTCTTTTGGAGACAGCCTCGCTCTGGGATGAGGAGGATGAGCGGACACCAATCTTAATGGTTTCTTACACGAATCATGCCCTGGATCAGTTTCTGGAAGGACTTCTGCCTATGCAAGGTAAGATTTTCCTAATCCTTCCCCTCTGCCTCAAAGGCTCTGTGATATTCTTATTTGTAAAGAAATTATACTTCGATGAGACTGAAAGTTCGAGATGTGTTAAGAAAGGATAATAAGAAACTTTTAATGAAGAACCAAAAAAGAAACTAATCCATTGCATTTTTTTAATACCAAAACTTAAAGAAACCGGTTACATTCTTCGCCGGAAGATAAAGTCAAGACCCAATATTAACACTGAAAGATTTAAACATTCTTTTATAAATAGGTTAATTTTTAGATATACTCTTTGATAAACACGCAGCAGGTTTTATTTTCAGTATATACGTAGATGTCAGCACACAGCTCATGTTTTGATTCATTGTAACTCGAGGTATTATATTTATCTGAGATTTATTTAAGACTTTTATGCGTAGTTCATTGGCAGTCAATTCTCTGTAGTTCCTCCTTTATACTCTGTTGGCGTTGACTGACCCCCCTCTGTTCCCCCCGCTGTTCCCCCCGCTGTTCCCCCTGAAAACTATGTGATCCCCCAAAATTTTCACCCCCTGCCTCCGTCCTCCCCCCACCAAGTAAAAAGTATTGACTGGCCCCTAAAGCGAAATGAAATTTCCAAATATTTTTCTTCCTCACAGGGATTGTTCGTGTCGGTGGGCGGTCTAAAAGTGAAAAGCTCGAGCCCAACATGCTCCACTTCGTTCGCGAACAAGCTCGTGAAAACAAAGAAATTCCTGGGAGGATTACCAGAGCAAGAACAAAGACGAACAAGAAAATTAGAAAGCTGAAGGAAGATGGAACTCTAGACCTGTCCATACTTGTGATGAGGCTTGCAAGAAGGGGAATCCTGTCCATTAATCTTCTTAAAGATTTCATGCTAGAGCGCCACGTCCGGTGGTTTGAGAAAGAATTTTACACACATGATAAACGGAACGCGAACGATTTCTTCTGCCAATGGCTTGGTGTAGAAAAACAGATGGCTGCGAAGGACCTCAGGGACAGAGATGATTATGATCTTAATAACGAAGATTTTCAACTGCAAGTGTCGTTTCGTACCTTCGCCGATGAAGACGATCCTGAAGAGGAAGGTGATTTACGCTGGGCGAGCAAGCCTTCAGATGTGCTGATATGCGAAACCAACGACTCTAAAAGGCCCTCACAACTACAAAGAAACCTCCAGGCGGTGGAAGTTATGTCTGAGGACGAAGAAAAGCGCATATTCTTCTTACAAGGATTGCCGCAACAACAGCGATGGAAGCTATACAGGTTATGGCTCCAGAGAGTTGAGAAAAAGTATCTGCAACAAATACAGGACAAACAACCCGAATTCGAAAAATTCCAGGCTCGCTTGAATGAGTTGCGGGACGAGGAGGACTTGGTCGTTCTAAAAAATGCACGTGTCATCGGCATGACAACCACCTGCGCCGGCAAGAGGCGCCATATTCTTCAGCGGATTCGCCCCAAAATTGTTATCGTTGAGGAAGCCGCTGAAGTATTCGAAGCTCACATTATTACTTCATTGACACCGGGCTGTCAGCATTTGATTTTAATTGGTGATCATCAGCAACTGAGACCTACCCCCGCAGTCTATGATCTAGCCAAGAAGTACAAGCTGGATGTGTCTCTGTTTGAGCGAATGGTGAATATTGGAGTTCAGTGTGAGATGCTTAACGTACAGCATCGTATGAGACCTGAAATCGCCGCCTTGATGAAACATATTTATGACGATCTTGAGAATCACGAGTCTGTGGAGGAATATGAAGATGTCAAAGGAATCAAGAAGAATATGTTCTTCATCAACCACAATTACATGGAAGAGTCGTGCAATCAGTCGCACAGCCATGTGAATGAACACGAAGCCAAGTTTTTAGTCGCGCTATGTCGATATTTACTACAGCAAGGATACAAAGCCGATCAAATTACCCTGCTGACAACCTACATGGGACAAATGTTTGCCATTAGACAATCTCTTAAGGCTGAAAACGATCACTCCGTCAGAGGTGTTCGCGTGACGACAGTTGACAACTTTCAAGGTGAAGAAAACGACATTATCCTTGTGTCACTTGTGCGCAGTAACAAAGATGAGAAAATCGGATTTCTGAAAATTGTTAACCGCGCATGCGTAGCGCTCTCTCGAGCTAAAAAAGGTTTCTACTGCATCGGAAACTTTGATCTTCTCTTTAAACACAGTGACATTTGGCGGAAGATTGTAACAGATCTCGGAGGAAGTCGCAGAATTGGCAGCAGCTTGCAACTGGTTTGCCAGATTCACCACGCAGAAGTCCGCGTCAAATTAGCCAGCGATTTTAAGAAAAACGTTCCTAACGGAGGGTGCCAGCGTGAATGCAAAGTGCGGTTGGAGTGCGGTCATACATGTAAACAGCTCTGTCATCCTGACGATGTCGAACATGAGAAGTACAAATGTGCTGTCCCATGCCGTAAAACCATCAAAGGTTGCTCTCACAAGTGCTCCAAGCTTTGTTTCGAAGCGTGTGAAACGAAATGTCCGGTTCCGGTGCGGAAAATGCTACCACTTTGTGGGCACATTAGTACCATGAAGTGCGGCCAAGATGTGAAAAAGGTGAAGTGCAGGGAAAAGTGTGAAAATTATCTTCCAAAGTGCGCTCATCAGTGTCAAAACTTATGTGGAGAACAATGTACGAAAAAGTGCGAAAAACGCGTAAAGAGACGGGATTGGCCGTGCGGACATGATGTGACAGTTGCGTGTTCTGCTAAGCCAGACGAATGCCCATTCCGTTGCTCATCCATATTGGAATGCGGTCACCAGTGTTCTGGAACGTGTGGAGAATGTCGAATGGGACGAATTCACAAGCGGTGCAACAAAAGATGTGATCGTCTGTTAGTGTGTTTCCACGAGTGTAAAGATTCTTGCATCCCAGCGTGTCCGCCTTGTTCAAGGCCATGTGAAAACCATTGCGTGCACAACTACTGCGCAAGAGAGTGTGGTCAGCTGTGCGTGCCCTGTAGTGAAGAATGCACGTGGGAATGTCCACATCACAAGTGCTATAATCAGTGCGGAGAGTTCTGCAACAGGCCAAGGTGTAACGTACCCTGCAACAAAATCATAAAATGTGGAAGACGCCGCCATATCTGCCGTGGTTTATGTGGAGAGCAGTGTATCTGTGCCTTATGTGACACTAATGACGGCTCTCGCATTACAGATATTTTCTTTGGTGACGAAGACCAAGGCGATGCAAGTTTCATCAAACTATCAGACTGTGGACACATATTTGAAGTAACTGGACTTGACAAGTAAGTTGAGTTCATTTTCTTTTTCAGTCTTTGAACTACAACAAAAAGAGACAGAGGTTTGTGTTAATTACTCAGAAATGGAAGAAATCCATTAGGGTCTGAAAGGAATAGGGGATACACAATTATGAAAAGGTACTGGATGCATTACGTAAAATGGTCGTGTCGGCGGTTTAATTTGGTCGACTGTGGTGTTAAGTACACTTGGTAGACAGTCCACAACGTGTCTACGAAATACGTAGTGTCACATGAGAACATACCGCTGGTACAAAGTAATTTTGTCCGTGAGCTCAAGAAAAGAGGTGGAGAAAACAAATTTGGTGTTAGGCCTAAAAACATTTTCACGTTAACTTAAAAAAAGACAAATTTTAGGATTTGCCATATTCAATATCACACTCCTCTCTGCAGGTACATGGATGACGATGAAAATCGCGCAATTAAACTCAAGTCCTGTCCTCGTTGTCTTACCCCCATCCGTACGAGCCTGCGATATAGCAACGTTATTAAACAGCAGCTATACGACATAGAGAAAGTGAAGATAAGTACGCACGGTCATCCGAACGAGATGACACACACCAAGCAGAAATTGCAAGAACGTCTCACAGACCTAAAAACGAGTTTTTACGGTGACCTCGAGATGCAGGAGTGGAGGAAACTGGAGCGCAGTGTGGACAAAATCACCAGAGGAACAGTGGCGGCAGTAACAGAAAATCAGCTGATGTTTATGGAGAAGTTTTGTGTCATGAGACACAAGTTAGATCAGTGTCTTCCCCGCCATGCACTGCGAAACCTGAGCGCTGACATCTTTTTGACAGGTAAGTATGAAATTATGAAACTTTTTTAACAACCTATGTATACGTCAGTTGAGTCTTGTGGCTAATATCATTACGGTAGAAGTTATCACTAAGTTTTAATGAACCAGTTGCGCAGTAGCTCAGACATTGACAAAGATCCCTAGGATTTGACTTTCTATTGTCAGTACTTCCATTGAAAGTAGCTCTCGGCCAATCAGCACGTAGGAACTCCAATCGCAGTCCGTTTGTGGACCAACTCACTTGGAAGATTGGACTTCATGAGAGGGCGTTTTCTTGAATATTCCCGAAAGCCGACATGGCAGTCATAAGTGCCTTGGAAAAAACCCGTAGAGATCAGAAGATGTATTCTCACCACCTATTAACTAGAGAATTTATAGATTTTCGAGTAGGTTACATTTTAATCATTTGGAGTCTTTTTTGTGAATTTCTTATTTTTGTTTTCATGAAGCTGTGCAGAAGGAATTGGAATATTTGAAGAATCGCTTCATGTCTAAAGGAGTCACAGAGAGGGAACTGCGTGATATCAGAGTTGAATTCAGTCGACAAAACCTCCAACTTGAGTTGTGTTTGTTGAGGCACAATACCACGAGCCTGAGTATGAATCTTAAGAGGAATTACCGCGAAACTATGACGTCGATACAAGATGAATTGTCCAGCGGTAGAGTTGTGAAGGAAGAGAGACTTGATATGCTCCTGGGAAAGTTGGGTGCTATCAGGTGACTTAACCTTTTTTCTTTTGTGTGTAAGTGCGTCGTATGTGCGTAGTGCACAGAACCACGTGCCCTGATTGCGGAGCTGTGATTGGAGGATCAAATCACATTGGGTGACTGCAAGGGTCGGGCTGGTTGGTCAGACGGCGTACCCGGCAGTTTTGCGTGTTTTTGATGGAGAAGTAAATACGAGCAGCGGAATTGATAGTGGAGAGTTTATCCTCCTCCATGCTCTTCTGGCTTTGAAACTGAGATCGCGAGCTACCTAGACGAGTATAAATGGTTTTAAAACAAGCTCAAATTCAAACTCTCACCTTTCCAAGCGTCAAGGTCATATGTTCGAACCTTGATTAATCGGCCTACTTACACCTGGAGTAAATGATAAAACGTGCGGGTAACTTTCACTGAGACTGTTTCACCCAGCAACCTTTATGCTTTACTTGGCTGCCACCTCACGGGTTCTTCTGTTGATTTTCAGATGCGCAAATATATCTGTAAAGTTTGTCGTGATTTTTGGACCTTTGCGCTTCCTAGGACACGCGTTGAGTTTGTTTCGGCTTAGAATTTGTCTGCAAGTGTTGTTTTCAATTTCTCTTGAGACATGCAGTTGCACTTTACAAGTGGATGATGTAGTTTTCTTTTCTATTTCAGGCGGGCCTACCCTGCTCTCTCGCCGTTGACCCCTGAAGAAAAAACTCAGATCGTAACAGCCATGAACTTCAAAACAGGTCATTGGTTCAAATGTCCCAATGGCCATGCCTATGTTGTCGGTGAGTGCGGTGGCCCCATACACAGAACCACGTGCCCTGATTGCGGAGCTGTGATTGGAGGATCAAATCACAGACTGGAGGAAGGAAACAAATTGGCGTGTGAGATGGATGGTGCGAGGCGCAAGGCATGTAAACATTGTTAATGGAACAATGAACTTTTTTTTTGTTTCAACTCCACTGCAGTCCTTGAGAAGGTCTGCTAATGCCTTGACTAACGAGGTGCAGAACCAAAAATAATTTGTGGCGATAGGCGCTAAGGCAGAAATTTGTTTTCTTGCTGCGCTCCTTGTAGGTATCAGTTATCTATCTTTAAAATAGTCTTATAGTAGAGGTATAGCGGGCTAACTGGTGGTTTGCCACATCTGTTTCTAAAATTTGTTCTATTGAATTGTTACCAGCAATTAAAAAGCTGCTTCTTCTGGGGTTTTGGGTGACGTGCACGATACTGGTTGCGTCCTCCGCTGCTTTGTAACATAGCTAGCAAGCCTTTGGTTGTAATCAATGTGTTTTACTCAAGTGTTATTTACCAAAACTCTGTTGCTTGCCGTTCGTAACCCCTTGAAATTTTTTTATTGTGGGCATGAGGAAGCAATTGATTTACCAGGAGGAAAATTGGGGGTATTTGTTAAAAGACTAGATTTATTCTGAAGTAAGTTAAAAAGTGCGAAATAAAGGAACATGAACCAAAACAGGGATAGAACCGAACAGAACTAATACATAAACGGTAGATCACGTGTCATAGATAATTCATGAACAGCATAAATTATCATATGTAATTCTAACAGTATTAACTTAGCAGAAGTGTACTTTTAATGCCTTTTTTTAAAGTAACACTAAACACACGCCAACAGAATGAATTTGAATCGATTGTCGAAAGTAAACCGGGATTTCTTTGTTTTTGCTTTTCTTCGCATTTTTGAGCGGTCCTGAAAACTGGCTTCACTCTCTCAACCAATCAGATGCAAAGCTAAACCCGATCATGACAGTGTCGCCCGCGTTTTTCCGCGCTTTAGTTAGTTTTGCTCTCATTGGCTCTTTAAGGTATTTTCCTTTTTCTGATTGGTCGTTGTGAGTACAAAGTTTTGGATTTACGACATTTGATTAAAAGGTGCTCTGTAGACAGCTCGTAATAAAGGAATCGTTCAAATGAGATGCCCCCATAAACTCTAGGTCTGGGGGGATCGGGGTGTGTTTCTCGAAAGTATCGTTAATATTTTAAAGTCTTAGCTGAAAATCTTGTACAATATGTTTCGTTTTCTGAAATTATCTTTGTTTGATTTGCAAAACTATGAGTACCACATTCTTGTTTGTTGACACGTAAACAAATAATAACAGCAACGGGAAAAAAAAAACTTATAGAGGTTTTGCACAGCAGCCATGTTGGATGGCAGGAACAATATATTAATTTTCCCATGGGAAAAAAATTCTTTCTTATGCAAAATATTTTCATTGTTCCTGCCATCCAACATTGCTGCTGTGCAAAACCTCTATTGGGGGTTGAAGACTACCGAAAAACGACTCCTTAGTGTTTAATGGAGCATTTACCATGTTCATATTCATTTATACCCTTGTTATCAAATGTTTAAATATTTTTTATTTTAGCAAAAGAGGCTAGAGTCCGTTTCATTCTCAGATTGACAGTCATCTCGGTAATACTGCTAGTTTAAGTCTCTTTATGTAACAATTATTGTTCGTGTTAATTTCTGTACAGCTATTATATGTATTTCTGATTGAAACTTTAAAAAGTACGTACCACAAGATGTTGCAGAGATGTAGGTAAACTCTTTGATAGAATAATTAACAGGTCAGAGTAAGAGCAATGTTCAATTGAGTGTCTAATATAACCGGGATTCTGATTGGTTCAAAAAAATCGTGCTACTATCTCAACCAATCAGATGCAGCACTGAAAACAGTCACGACTTGGTCACGTGTGTTTTCCCGCGCTTTTGGGCGTTTGCTGGTTTTTACCTTGAGATCTTATCAACTCCTTGAGATATTTTACNAATAAAGGCGAATCTAACAGATGCCCCCTCCCCCCAATTCCCAGTAAACAGGCCAGACCACATCACAGTAATCTCGTGAGTGGGTTCTTTAACGTCCCCTGCCTAACCAAATTAACTAATTAATAGATGCAGGAGACGGGACCTACGGTTTATTCGTCCTTATCCGAGAAGACTAGAATGTCTATCCATTTCTTGATGTTATAGAAAGGTAGCGCATTCTCCTCAGTTATTTTAAGTCCCTGAGTGTTGGTCCGGCCGGGGCTCGAACCATCGACCTCGACCTCCCGCACAACAGTCCGGAGTTCTAACCAATTGAGCTAACCGGGAGGCGGTATCGAAGAATAAAAAGCCTACGACTTCTAATTTGTACATCGGACACTCTACCGCCTAGCTACAGGGGACTCATGCTAGGCTAAGTTGTTAACCAGGTCCATGGTAACAAACTTTCTGTATAATGCTAGGATAGGAATGTCGATGTGTGATGCTTTTGCCCAATGATCACGTGAATCGAGATGGTAAATTTCTCATCTTTTCATTAAAGGGCCTCGATTATTGTAGGTAGAAAAAGATAAGGTGAAAAAAAAAAAGACTATAATAACAAGCTGTTGCAAATAAGTACATCAAGTTTTGTTACTTACGGTCAAAATCAGACGAGCTTTGAAGTCACGGCGTAAAATATTCCATACAAGTTACCAAGTAAAATCTATTGCTGAAACATGTTCGTCATTTAAAAACATTTCTTAGCCTATCACTATCTATAGCTATAATTTAAAGCAATAGCATTGTTTTGTAAATGATTCAATTCCATTTGAGTGTCAGAGGTGATCTGGGACTACAGTGCTTTTGCTCCACCTCGCTCTTGGATTGATCTAGAAAACTCGTGCTAACATCTTAACCAATCAGATGCAAAACTAAAACCGGTCGCGACGTAATCAATTGCGTTTCCCGCGCTTTTAATTTGCGTGCGCGCTGGCATGTAGCCTTTTTGTTTTCCTTTGTTTTGAATGGCTATAGTAATAAACACGGTTTTCATCCAACGACGCTCAATCTAAATGAGCTTTGTCAGCATCAAAAAAGTCAAACTATTTCATCTAAGTTTCCATAGTTAGCTAAATTCGCCTGTTCAGACCAGGCCGGGTACCTCGCACCATCCATCTCAGACGCCACTTGGTTGTCCTCTACCAGTCTGTGATTTTCTCCACCAATCACGGATCCGCAATCAGGACATGTGCTTTTCTGCATAGGGCCGCCACACTCGGTGATGACGTAGATATGTCCCTGGGGACATTTGTACCATTGACCTGGTTTAAGGTTCATGGCGGACACGATCTGTTTTTTTTCTTCTGGCGTAAATGGTTTAAAGCAGGGATTGTTTGTCCTAAACATGAAACAATTATGTATTCAGTCAATTCATGAAACAATTATGTATTCAGTCTCTAGTTTCAGGATAGTCTCTCACATTGAGCAAAATAACCGCCATAAATGTCAATACCAGTTATCATACGTTTCTTTGAAAATTAGTTCAAACAGACTCGGCCGTTTACTTAGAAGATGTCTATTTACGCAAGCAGTGGGCCTTAGGCGTTCTCTCTAAGAGGGTTGTTTTCATTAAATAAATGTCCTTCCATTGCTAGGTTTCGACCCTCTTGACACTGTTCACAAATGTTCAAATTAAAGATTCAGCTAAATTCAGGATAGTTTATGACGTGGTTTAGTTAAAACAACAGCTAAACTTTGTTTAAGTAATCGGCCCGCTCTTTTTGATAAGCTCTTGTATAATAATGATGAAGCTTGGGTATGTGTAGCATTAAGTCAAATATCTTGACAAGGGTTACAAAAAATGTAGGAGTCACTTTAATAAGCTGATCCTCTCTTAAATAATACTTGTCGACGTGGAGCACAACAAGGTTCGGGCATTGCCAAGCATCTTTAAATCTCTTTCCAGTCATTACTCTCTTATGATCCCGACTGTAGGAGAACGTCATTTTCTGAGTTGAAATTTTAACTTTTTGTAGACATTTCTTTGTAAAGTTTTCGACGTACCTTATAGTTGCAATGTCATTCATTAGTTTATCCAGTTCTTCGTCTGCTATGTGTTGGCCGCTGGACAGTTCCTTTTGTATCGCAGTCATCATTCCGTGGGAAGGTTCGTCTAACTCCACTTTCAGGATCCTAATTTCGCGCTTCAGCAAATACAGCTCCAGTTGAAGATTAATTTTCGAGAATTCAGTGTTGATGTCTTGTAACTCTAAAAGCCCTACCTCGTCAGACAGAAGCCGTTTCTTTAGGCAGCTTAGTGCCTCGGTAAACTGCTGGCCTGTTGATAATACAGGCGTACTAGGTAAGGTTTTTGGAAGCTACATGTATAATTAAGGGAAGTTGCAGAGCTTGAATTCTCTCAAACACATTAAGCTCATTGATTAAATACTCAAAATGCATTTGGGTTAAAATCTCAACTTACGCTGCAACTTCTTTTCAGAGCTGTTCTCAGGAGACACCGTTCTGAGATGTCTTTGTATTTTCTCTCCTGTCGGTTGCAAACGCTGAATTAGCATCAACTGATTTTCAATTATCGTGGCCATCGTCTCATTCTTCATTGTTTTCCATATACTGTCTTTCCGTTTTTCCAAGTACGCTTTGACACTTTGATCAACCACCTTCAACATCTCACTCGCACGAACGAACAGGCTCCTTTTCTTCCTGTCCAATAACATCTTGTCTCCTATCAGTTTTGCTTTCACTCGCTCGATATCGTGTAGCTGCTGTTTGATAACATTTCCGTATCGCAGGCTCGTGCGGACTGGGGTCCTACATTGCGGACACTGCTTTCGCCCAATCACGTCATCGTCTTTGTCCATCCACCTATGAAAGAGAAAGAAATGTTATACAAGTATGTGGTGCACTCTATAGATACAGACATCATTAAAAATGGCTTGCAGTAATATCCTGCGCAGCGGCATGTCCCATTTGCTATACAAACACATGAGAGAAAGGCCGATTTTCCTGAAAGACACTTTATAAAATGACCTAAGAAGTGGGTGTCAATCAATATCACTATTCATTAGACCTACTGTCAAAAAAATCTGATTGGTCGAGAGCATTCAATCAGTGTTCAATATGGTGTGAAGTTGATATGACAGTGCAATATCTGCAACGGATATTACATTATCAAAGCCTGCCTAGTTTCCAAGCCCCTCGTCAGTGCAGTGTAACTCAAACTTTTGCGAACTCAGAGAGAAACTCAAAATGGTTTTTGCCTCGAAACTTCCAAGAGTTTATACTAAGTGCGCGGATGATAGGTAGAATCCTACTGCCTACTCTCATATTTGAAGCGTACTATTAGTTCATACCTATCCAGGCCAGTTACTTCAAAGACATGCTGGCAGTCTTGAAGCTTAATGAACCGAGCACCTTCGTCCTCCTCCGTCCCGAAGACAATCTCTCTTACTGGAGTACACTCAGCACAAATGCACTCTTCTTCACACTTCAAACCACAGCAAACGTGGCCACAAGACATGACTTGGTCGCATGGCTCGTTACATCTTGGTCTGTCACACATCTCACTGCACTTCTTGGTACAAACGTGATGAGGACACTTCCAAGGGCATTCCTCGCGGCAAGGTGTACATGGCTCTCCACAATTTTTCGTGCATCTACTGTGGACGCACAGGCTCTCACACTTCGCGGTACAAGGCGGGCACGACTCTCTACACCACGACTTGCACGAATGGGAACAGATTAGGACACGACCACACTTTTTCTCGCATCTTTTGTGAAAACTACCCATGCGACACTCGCCACAAGTTCCAGAGCACGTGTGACCACATTCTAACGTGGCTCCGCAAGGCTGAGGACAATCAGCAGAAGTTGCCGAGCAGGCGATAGTGACTTCATGTCCACAAGGCCAATCTGTTTTCTCAACTTTCTCTAGACACCTCTTCGTGCAGCGTTTTCCACATTTGCTTTGACATCTATGGCCACATAGAAGGACCTTCTCACACGGTTCTTTACATTCTATCATCATTGGACTAGTGTCACATCTTACCTTCGTAGTGTGACTACAGATCGGCAACTCTTTCTCAACCATTATATCACAAAGTTGCTCGCAGGACTCCCAGCAACGCTTTGGGCACGTATGGTCACAGCTTGCCCTTTTCCTTTCACACGGTTTCTTACAGAAAAATTCGTCGTGATCTCTATCATAAGGGTGACATGCCCACGTACACGCATGACCGCATTTCAGACGAACCCCACATGGCCGCTGACATCCTCCCTTGGGAACTTTTGTGCTAAAATCTTCGGCGACTTTAACGCTGACTTCGTCGTTGTGGATTTGACAAACGAGGGGCAAGGCGCTTCCAATACTCCCACTAGCTTTCAAATCTGCAACAATCTTCTTCCAACTGTCACTATGTTTTGAGAGAAGGCCAAAATTTCCAACGCAGTACAAACCCTTTCTTGCACGCGAGAGAGCAACACACGCCCTGTTCATAATCTTGATGAATCCGACTTTCCCGTCTTTATTACTGCGCACAAGAGACAGCAGGATGATGTCGTTTTCTTCACCTTGGAAGTTGTCAACTGTTGTTGTTTGACAGACAAGTTTACGCAATGATTCCTCATCTTTTTGGAGGCAGTCTCTGATGGCATACTTCTGCCCCGTGTAGGTTGTCAGCAGGGTAATTTGATGGGCTTCGTATCCTTGCTGTAATAAATATCGACATAGCGCGACCAAAAACTCGGCCTCGTGTTTATTTACGTGGCTGTGCGACTGATTAATAGACTCTTCCATATATTTGTGGTTGATAAAGAACATGTTCTTCTTCATTCCTTTTATATCTTCATATCTCTCCACTGACTCGTGATTCTCGAGACCGTCATAAATGTGTTTCATCAGAGCAGCGATTTCAGGTCTCATACGATGCTGTACATTGAGCATCTCGCATTGTACTCCGACATTTACCATTCGCTCAAAGAGGGACACATCCAGCTTGAACTTCTTAGCCATTTCATAGACTGCGGGAGTGGGTCTTAGTTGTTGGTGATCACCAATCAAAATTAAATGCTGACAGCCTGGTGTCAGAGACGCAATGATGTGAGCCTCCAATACTTCTGCGGCTTCTTCGACTATAACGATCCTGGGACGGATCATATTGAGAATACTGCGGTATTTTGCGGCACACGTGGTCGTCATTCCAATAACACACGCCTTGCGCAGAATTTCGTATTCTTCCTTTCTGGTGATCTCCTGCTCTCTTTCTATGGCTTCTTCATACTCGCCTTGCCTCGTTAGGAAGAGCTCGTTGTGATGTTCCTCCGCCCTCTTTCTCCACAGCCTGTAAAGCCTCCAGCGATCTTCTGTTTTTAACCCATATATATCATCAAGATGAATCTCCTCGTCTTCTGTCATGAGTTCTTCACTCAAAAGATTTCGTTTTACTTCCTTAGGGTAAGCAGCGTCTTCAACCGAGAGAATGGATATTTTATGAGCCATTTTGTCCAGATCTTTGTCATCAAAAGGCTCGTTGTCAAAAGCTACACCGTAGCCGTCGCCATACCCTTCTTCCTCCAACTCGTCGTGAAGAGGGAATTCTCGTCCACGTTTATGTCGCCTTTTAATTCGCAACCAGTCAAGAAGAGCTTCGTTAATTGATACTGGTCCAGCTTCTTTACTGAGTTGGGAGTAATGCGCTCGACGCACATAATCAGAATGACCAAGGACTTTCATGGACACTACGCCGGCCCTCAGACTACGTAAAATATCGAATGATCTCTCAGAGAAGACTTTTTGCGTCGCGGTGTCACTTTCAGTCTTCAATCTGGCTTCGAAAATTTCATCTGGAACCACTTTTTTCCGATGCATTTTCCTACGAAGGCTCTTCAAGGAATATTTTTCAAGTTGTCTACTTATTTTCCGGCCACCAACACGAATTAAACCTAAAATTGACACAAAAAAACTATATTTTAAGTATTTGCTAAGTAACTATTTTAAACAAATAATTCGTGTGAAAAACGCTCTTTTTAAATTTCGACTCAATGGAGACTCATTTCTGCGACTAAACTTTCACAATTTAGTTGGAAACAATAACAGAAAAACTTTTCAGTGGACCACAATGTTCAAGAAAATGAACCTTCCTGAGTTCCACAATGCAATACAGAATATTTTCTACTCACATTAAATCTTGATTTTCTCTTTCAAGGAAGGTAGGATTTGTATTACTCGCCACTGGCTTCAATAATAACAGTGATAATAATGATGATAGTAATAATAGTAATAATATTAATAATAATCAAAAAAATAATAATGATATAAAATCAGACATATCTCACTTGTCGTTGTTGACAAGAGTCCTTCCAGAAAGTGGTCCAAGGCGTGATTTGTGTAGGACACCATCAAGATTGGTGTCTGATCCTCCTCATCCGCCAAGAGAAAGGTTTGCAAAAGAACACGTGCAATCTTCCAACCCACGTATGTCTTCCCAGTCCCTGGCGGTCCTTGAATTACAGCAAACCTTTTGGTCAGCGCCATTTTGAATGCACGCATCTGCGATTCATTGAGCCCGAGGCTTTCCCTGTCTGGCCAACAATGTTCGTTCGGGGTGCACTTACACACTTCTACAGCTGAATGGATTTCGTTCTCCACAGGTACTTCCACACCGGCCGAGGAATCCGGCACAATTTCCATGGAAGATCGGGAATCATACTGTTCAACCAACTCAGAACGTTCTGGATGCGCCTCACTTTTTGTAACCAAGACACCATCGAATTTAAACTTATAATTGCCGTTGTTTTCCTCGTTTATTTGATACTCAGGTGGCTCAACATCCCTGCAGCACTCCACAATCTGCCTCTGGAAAGGAAACTTGGAATTTATCTCCTGGAGAGCTTCAAGCACGTGTCTGTAGGATTCAAAATAGGCTGGAGACTCTATCATGACAAATACCTCCTTTCCTTGAACGAACTGTTTCACTTCCTCCGAGCTAACGTTCTCGAAACGTACCTCTAATCGTCCTTCTTTAAGTTCCTCGGAAACTGAATTTTCTACTGTAGCGAAAACCAGCGTATTGAAGTTGTCTGCTGAAAGACATAGAAGTGTTCCATACTTCAGTCGATTACTTCGCTTCCAGTTCACTTGTGCTACTTTTCGATGGTTTGAGTCAAACCCGATTTTGTAAACTCGGCTTCTTTTGCCACATACGGGGAACTGGATGGTGACATCATAATAAACATGAATGTCATTGGCGCGTTTGCGTTTGTTTTCATGATTAGGTCCGAGGGCATTGCTTGTTTTCAGTTGTTGTATTCCATCACGAAGCGGTTTCAGAAAGTCCTCTCTCAAAAGACGAAACTGTACATCTAGATAGTGGTCCAAGTCTTTAAACCTTTTGTCGGTGATGTTTTCGCGAAGGAAAGGTCTGGCAATTAGATCGTCTACTTGAGGAATGATGCTCAACTTTTTGAAGTTTTCTGGTGGCTCACATTGTGAATTCTGATCACTTTCACATTTTGCATTCCGAATGACTTCTTTTCTCAATTCTTCTAATTGCTGGATCATCTTCTCAAGATGATCGAAATCTTGGACCAGGTTCGACTCTTTCAGGTCATTGAGCGATATTCTAAGCTGTGGCAGCAGTAGCTTGTGAACTATGTCATTACCAAATCTCTGAAGAAATGCGACAAAAATTTCTGTCAGGTTACTCACTGTGCAAACAAGTTCTTCCTCGTCTTTCCAGTGGTTAGAATGAGGCAGTTTGTTGATGAAACTCGATAGAACCGTCCCTGTAATGAAATTCTTCGCTGTGGGGGAACATAATAACCTGTCGACATTTTTAGAGATGAGGTCACGGTTGTTCGCTGAGCATAGAAGATGAAAAGCAGATATTACCAGCTTTAGAAAGACAGGGTTCGATTCCTCGTTGTCTAACTTCTCTGAGGCCAACAGAGCCTCGAACCTCTCCGCTTTGCTAATCAGCTTTAAAGCCGATGGCTCTCTGCAGATTCTTTCCAATTCTTTGAAGCTGATAGGCTGAGTAGTATTACTCTTGTCCTCCCCAACTACAGGGACTGTTCGTCTCCGTTTCGAAGCGTCATCGATCCTCCGGACAGGTTCGGACCTTCGCTTCCGATTATGAGAAGAAGAAGCTTTGAACTCACTTTGAAAATCCCTCGGAGAATTTCTTGAGGAACGTGACATCTGTTTTGTGAAAGTGGAAATGTAGGCAGAAACACTAATTTACACCAACGAATTATAAAAAACAAAGGGACCCTACTTCCTTTTTTGGACACAGATTACTCAAATTTAAGGAAAGAAATACAAGAAACTATTCACGACAATCATATTAAGTACAAAAGAGTGTTGAGAAGAAGAGAGAGACAAAGCACTCGGTTGAATTCGGTACTCACAGTATTTCCCATCAACGGGCGGTATAAGCACTTACACAAATTTATGCAAAAAGACTGCAATTAAGTCTCAAAGCAATATGGAATCAATCTCATTTCTATCGTGTCTTTTATAGTACTTTCTGTAGTTATGATGGAAACAGGAAAAGTTTCTGCGGAATTATCTTATGTATTTGTAGACAAAAGCAGAAGTGATAACAGTGCGGCTGCTGAGATGAAAAAAATCGATGGCGTAACTATGAAAAGTTCTTTATTCACCGCGAATTCCCGTGAATAGTTTCCTCTCCGGAAAGCAACACACAATTACGTTGAGAAGGTGGAATCAAAGTACAGTGGAATCCGGATTTCTCGAACCTCCGTTTGAGAAATCGGGGTTGAAATTACAAGTGAAGCGAATCCAAGGGAAACAAGGTTTGGTTCGAGATATCGGGAGGTTCGAGAAACCGAGGGTTCGAGAAATCGGGATTCCACAGTATATATCACAATTGATTTAATTCTGGACAATCAGAGACCGGCAATATTTTAACATCAAGAACGGGCACATTATTATTCATCATTCGAGCGATTCAATCGCACGAAAATCATACGACAAAATTTGATCCAACAACATCTCAGGCTACCAGCGATATCCCAGAATTTATCGCTCGACAACGAAAATCCGTGTGGTGTACGTTTGGTTTTTTTTATGATCACTTACGCTCGCATGTTGCTATGATTACGAGTGATTATGTAGTGGGTTTATTTCTATTGTCCTATAGAGTTTTATACTAATATCATAGTAAACTACCTGATACCAATCTATCTCTGTCTTAAGATCAATGTGAACGTGAACTCTGACCAATAACGTGGAAAATAGAGAAATGCAAATTTTAGCGAAATGGATGTTTGGATTTTATACCAAAAGAAATTTATTCGAACGATCTATTTGACTAAAAACTTTCGACAGCTTAACCTTATCAAACAAACAAAGATACATTTTAAAATAATTCATTTCTACAGTGTGTCTTGTAACAAAGGGTCACCGTCTCGAAAAATACGTTAATTTCTCACGAAACTTTCTCGTGAAAGTTCGGACGAATAAATGAAGTTGCTAGAACACCTTCGATTGTATTTAATGCGTTCCCTGAAGTATTTATGCTCCAGTGATTAATGAAAAGTAAACTGAATCAAATCCAAATAAAGTTTTCAAAGATTATGAAACGATAACCAATAACTGCGAGTTGAGAAATCCTTTTTTTCTGTCAAGTTTTCAAGTTTAAAAGCATCCTTTCTAGAGAGGAATTGCCCAAAGAAACATCGGTTAAGATGCAGGAAATCGTCATCGATTAGTTTTCAGAGACAGCTTAGCAATATGATTTTAATCTACACATTTTGGTATTTTAAAGAAATAACGAGTTCTGCAATGGCTGATCTTGTGTCAATAATGTTTCTTCGAACGCACCGACTGGTTGCTCGAAGACTGTTGTTTAGTTTTGCAGGCTCTAGTGGAATCATAGTTAGTAGAATTTAGTGCTAACATTCTAATTAAAAGCTTTATCAACGTTTAAAAGAAGCTTACCTTTAAACTACAGGTTCAAAACATGGTCGAAACCATGTTGATGTGAACTATGTTTCACGTGAAAAAATTTTCTGCTTATTTCAGTTCCCACAAATTGCCGCTCTTCAGCTGCGCAAATTTCTCGAAAATTAGCCAAGTTATTGGATCGGAAATAATATTAAGCATGTCAAAAATGTATGAATTCTGCTACGTGATTGGTCTATTATTGAACTGTTTGTCCGTCTTCGATTCTGAGAAACAGTTCTGTTCCTCTCCGGTTTCTGGGAATTCTAAGAAGAAATTTTGATTTTACGACCGTACATTTTTAAAGTGGGGTCAACAAAACCACCATCCTCAATCTGATTCAATCTGTTTCGGGGAATGGGGAACCTTTTATCAAGTATGAACAGGAACAATTTTCTTTGGCCTCTGGCATTCATAAAGGTTCTATTTCTGGTTTGCCCTGCAATCCCTACGATAATTATGCAAAAATGGACTCGTCCTACCACCTGGCGAGAGCCACTTTACAAAGTGTAAAATGAAACCATTATTTTTAGACATATTCGGCATCAATTCTTAGAAACTTTTCAGTCATTGTTCCGCTTTCATGCGAATTTGGAAGCAAAAAGTCCGTGCTTGGAAAACGTTGCCAAGGTGTTGAGTGCTTCAGTTTGCCAAGATCTTGCTTCATTTGGTTTCATACCTAACGATGATAAATCAATTTGGGAGCCTACGTAGAAGCCAGTTTTTCTGGGATCCGTTTTAGATTTTGTGGAAAAGCTTAATTCAAATTCCAGAGGACCAAATCCGCAAGCTCAAATCCCTCCTCAGTTCTGGTCTTCAGAAAAAGGTCACATTTCAGCCGGAAATCTTGCTCTAATTATAGGGTGGACGATAGGCTAACATGGTCACCACACCTATCTGAAGTGAAAAAGAGCTTTGCTAATAAACTCAATCTACTAAGAAAACCGATGAGCGGTTTTGGAACGATTCTACTTTGGTGTTATTCTGCCTTTAATCACCTACAGCCTTGTGACATGGGCAAACTGCAGTTACTTTGAGCTATTTAGGTCAATCGATAAACTCCACGGCCGAGCTGCGAAGCCAATATATAACTTAGGGAATAGTATTTCTTACCAACACGCACTTAAGCGGATAGCCAAATGGCATTCCTTAGCTTACAATTATGACATCAGACTGTTCAAGCTGATGCCTGATGCTTACTGCGATAGACTTCCTGTACTACTAAGTGACAACACACCGAGTACTCGT